GTAGAAAGTAACATGTGCTTTTATACAGTGGCAAGTGACTGGGAAAACAAAATGGAGATTTTAAATTAGTGTTTCTTGATGTGAAACCTGATGCTTTATACACATTCATGCACATATTATTGTAACTCTTGGCTGTGACAGGTGATATGAGAAGAATATCACCTTCTAACTCCTTGGCTAGTGGAAACTGGCACAGCTGCAGCAATGCTTTTGTTTGGGTTAGTTTCTATGGTAGATAAACAGTAGCTTAAGATACTTATCCTTCCCTTAGACTCTTCTGGCATTTATTCTTGACTTTTTTCTCATAGCACCCTATATCCACAATTACAATGATAAAATTGTTTGTGGTGTCAGTCTGTCAAATGGATCACAAAAGTGACTAACAAGAAAAACAAACCTCTCCCTTTTCCACTATTTAAAGACTTTTTTATTTCACTTTTTTTAACCAGACTAGTATCCTGATTTTGTTAATACAGCAGTCTTATTCAGACTTGTGTCAGTGCAGAATGGGAAAAAGTAGAAAAGCTAATGGGGAGGATGGCAGAAACTCCTTTAGCACAGCCAGAGACAAGATACATGAAAGTATAGGGGAATGGATCTTAAGAGAAATCTTGCACTATGCTTCCCTGTAAATACTACTATACATATAGTAGAGTTGCACTGTCCTATTGGACTTTCTTTTTGTTTTGGAGAGTAGACAAGAATTGTATTATCTTTGAATTTCCATGCATTTAAGTAATAAAATTTATGCCGTACATCTTTAGACTTTACAGGACTTTACCAGCATGGCACTGGGAACAAAGAATGCACCCTTGCCAACCCTGGCAGGAGGACAGAGACTATGTGGTGTGATAATCAAAAGCAATAGCTCTGCATCAGATAATGACACATCTGTTTTGCTGAATTTAGAGAAACTGGGAGGAGGATGACACGAGCTAGCAGTGGCGAGGTAGTTTAAGTCAAACTCTCTTCCTTGCGTCCCATTTTAACGTTTTTTAAGAAAAAGACAAAGCCAACCTAACATTTTATCTCACTCTCCAAGTCAAAGCAACTCATCCAGAAAGTTATGACTTGTGTGTGTTTTCTATCATTGTATTTTCTCTGATCTGAAGCAAACTTTTACCTAAACCAGAACAAAATTGAGTGTTATTTGATTGAAATGTTCTCAATAAGACAATCAAAAATCCCTTTGTTCTTTTTGCTTTATCTCACTGAAAATGACTCAACTTGAGGATTGTTTTTGTTGCTTAGAGTAACGTTTTTAACAGCTGAGGTCCTCTATGCTATAACCAGGCGTCCCACGTGAAGGATATGGGGCAATTCACTCTGAGTTTTCAGCGGCTAGGGCTAAATAACCAAATTATTTGTCCTGACCTTTCAGTCAAAATTGCTCAGATTTTGCTCAGCATAACCCTTGCTCTGCAAAGAAGACACGTGTGGACTTCTCTGTCTGCACAAAGATGGGTTTCCATGACAGACCATTTGCAAACATGTTGTTGTTGTGTATTGTTACTTCATGGTTACTTATGTTCCTCTATACTCCTACTACAGATAGACAATAATAATAGCAATAGCTCTACTTCTATCTTCAAATTCTTTATAATAGATTATTGTAATGAAGGAAAAAAAGCTTTCTTGCTAGAAATTTGTAAAATGTTGCTGTCCAGAAAATAAAATAGTATGCATCAAAGAGATGATGGAATGAACAGAATACCTCTTTGTATTAGTTCTTGGTAATGCTTAACTTAATGCTTTAGATCTTCAAATCATGGTATCTGCTTAACTTTGATTTATACAGCCTATAGAATGGGCCTATAAATGAAAAATAGCAGTCATGCACCTTATAGTGGCAGGAGTTTTAGGAGACAGGGCCAGTGGTTATTGTGCTTCATAGTGTGAGAAATGAGAGAGAAAAAAAAAAAAAAGATTAATTTGAACTATATTGATATATGGAATATATTATATATATATATATCGGATGTGTATATATATGTTTATATTCAAAAAGAATCATTGGTAGTTCTTATTTCTGAGGTTTTGGTGAGAAAACATCCACATTTTTTAAAAAGATGGTCATTATGAGAAGAAGGATTAAATATTTAATGTTTATTCAACAATTGTCTAAAGGTAAGTTTGAGGAATTTGTATCTTGAATATTTGTTAGGGTTTATCTACACATCACATTGTTGCATGGGAAAATGAGTATCTGCAACTCACGTGTTTCCCCCATCACAAAAAATGGGGAGATATATATGATTGGACAGGGAGATGTACAGTTAAATATTCTGGAAGGAATGTAAGAAATTTCACATACATTTCAGATGTACAACATGTTTTACTTTCCCAAGTGAAAGTAATGGGTAAAAGCTGTTGTCGCTGTTGTCTGGTACAGAATGGGGGGTGTTTTTTTTTTTTTTTTAATCCCTTTATAAAAAGCTATACAGCGCAAATTCTGGAAATTACATGCTAAGATTAATTTATTTACTCTCTGCCCTGAAAGTAATGATATCCCTACAAATAGAAAATATTTTCATTAATATTTTCATTTACTTGTTCTATGGCATCTAATTTGAGCCTATTATTGGGAATAAAGTGTTGCAAAGTTCTACTGCCACAATTTTAAAGAGCAAGGACAGTGTTTAATTTAAATAATCTTAGTAAATTCTTGCCAGCAGAAAGAGATTACAATGCAAATGTTGACTGTCAGCTGGAGCTGCTGAATGTAGATTTGCCTCTAGATTGGCTTAGTGGATAATTAGATTGGCTTTTAAAAACATTGAAGAAAAAGTTAGTTATAGGAGCACTTCTACCTCTTTAGAAGTTTTATGGTCTTACTTGTAGGCAAGTTTGTAGACTCTGTAATAACACTGTATCACATATAAAATGAATTTTACTTTAATGGGTGGTGTATGTCTGCATACCACTAGTTGTGTCCATGTGCTGTATCAAGTAAGTTCCTATGTGGCTAGATATTGTTACTTTATGTTCTATATTCTACCGTGCCTTATCCACTGTTCAAAACACTCCTTTTCAACAAGCAGCCATGCTAGAGGACAGTAAAGCAACTCCTTATTTAACTAAATCATTTTAAATGTCTTTTATGTCAACTTTAGGCTTTGTTATTACTTTCATTATTTGTATTGTTTCACTGATTAACCAATAAATCCATATTTCTAGCTCTGATGTTTAATTACTTAATTGATTTAGCCTCTTCATGCTTATGATATGAACACACAGAAATGCAGACTGCAGAGCAGAGGCTGTTTGCCTGTGACTGAGCGAAGATAAGATCATCGCCTGTGCCCTAAAGGATAACTCTACCTGACCCAGGTGTGCTGGGTGAGCAGAGGCTGTTTGCCTGTGACTGAGTGAAGATAAGATCATTGCCTGTGCCCTAAAGGATAACTCTACCCGACCCAGGTGTGCTGGGTGAAAGAAAGTATCTGTCTCATTTAATTAATACTAAAATAAAATGAACTCATGAATAAGGCCTGCTACTTAAAGTCCATACTGCAAGTATAGTGACTTGGAGGGAATTGTAGAATGTGGAGTGGGGGGCAATTCCGTATTTCTGTTCTTTTTACTTGGGATGAATGCAAGGCATTTTAACAACGCAGACACAAGTGCTCGTGCAATGCGACTTAGCAGCATCGCGGAGCAGTCGGGCACATCCTGGCTTGGACACACATCTGCCCACGTGCGGCAGCAGCGGAGCAATGGGGAGCCCGCGGGCCCCATCACGGAGCAATTTGATGACAGCCACGGGTGAGCTGCTGAAGCAAGGAGGGGG